TGAGCTCCAGCTTGTAATAACTATCCTTATTAAAAAGAAATAATTTTGCATATATATATATATATATATATATATGTTGGGCACCTCGACGTGGTGTAATGGTTAGCAAGCTTGTCTCGCTAGAGTAATACAACTGAGTAGTGATATCAATCCTCATTGAGTTCCCCATAAGTTCGGCCTTGTGTCATCTAGGAAAATCACTATATGTATATGGGTATATACACTCGTGTGCACGTGCGTCCGTGTGTGTGAGTGTGTGTGCGTATGATTCTATCAGTGTGTACATCTGTGTGTGCGGGCCTGTGTGGAAATAGATGTGTGTGTGCATCTGTGTGTGCGCGTGTGTATATGATTCTGTGAGTGTGTGCATCTGTGTGTTAGTGTGTGTGATTTTATTAGTGCATGCCTCTGTGAGCGTGCGTGTGCGGGATTTTATGAGTGTGTGCATCTGTGTGTGCGTGCGTATGCATAATTCTATGAGTGTGTGCATCTGTGTTTGCGTGTGTGTGTGGGATTCTATAAGTGTGTGCATCTGTGTGTATGATTCTATTAGTATGCATCTGCGTATCCGTGTGTGTATGATTCTATTAGTGTAATCATCTGTGTGTGTGTATGTGTGTGGGATTTTATGAGTGTGTGCATCTGAGTGTGTGTGCGTATGCATAATTCTATGGGTGTGTGCATCTTTGTTTGCGTGCGTGTGTGGGGGATTCTATGAGTGCGTGTATCTGTGTGTGTGTGTGTGTTTGTCTATGTGTATGTGCATTTCTGTGTGTGTGCGTGCGTGTGTGCTTGCGTACTTGAATCTGTCAACATTCCTGCCATCGATTCAAAGAAAAAAAAAAAAGGGCGGAAAGGCCCTGGCATGACAAGAATCAACATATTCCGGCAAGAACCCGAGGGGGATGGGCGATTCGGGGTGGGGGGTTGCAGGTAAACGCCTTGAATTTGCTTCGGGCGGTGAAGAAGGAGGAAGATGCTGAAAAGTCACATCGGACAAAAAATCTAAAAACATTGGAAATAAAAAAAAAAATAAAAGCCTTGTCGAAACGTACAGAAATAAATTTAAAAAAAAAAAAAAAAAAACTCGAACGGGGAAAGTATTCCAACGGAGGAAAAAAAAGGAAATGGTAAAGTTTGTGTAAGAAATATCAGAATAAATATAAAAATGAAATGCATTCTCCACTTAACAATATTGATATATATATATATATATATATATATATATATATATATATATATATATATATATATATGTGTGTGTGTGTGTGTGTGTGTGTGTGTGTGTGTGTGTAAGCATGCAGGGTGTAACAGCAAAATTGTCCAGATCATGTAACAGCAATATTGTGCAATATATGTATATATATATATATACGTAAGTATACCGGGCGTAACAGTTAAATTGTCCAATATATATATATATATATATATATATATATATATATATATTTATATATATATAATAGAGAGAGAGAGAGATAGGCAAGCCGTACGTGAAGCGTCACTTACAAATGACGCTTCATGTACGGCACATACTACAAACAGAACTGTTCATAAACATTTTCGGTTCTCCCCCGTCGAGGTGCAGTTGAAATGCACCGAAACGAAGTTGCATCACTGTAGTGAGTAAAATGGTTTTGTCTGTATGATAAAATTATAATAAATAAATATATATATATATATATATATATATATATATATATATATATATATATATATTCTTACGTAATAGATATGTATAAAAATGCTAAAAGCATTTATTTTGTTTAACATATGCGGACAAATATATATATATATATATATATATATATATATATATATATATATATATATATATTTGGTTGGATTGATGTGAGTTTCACGCTGACGATCGCAAAAGCGTGAAACCCAGTGTCACAAACTCACATCAGTACAACCAAATATGTTAGCTATATCTCTGATATTGAGCGCTATCTATTAAGTACTGCGCATATAATATATAAATAATTATATATATATATATATACACACACACTTTTTTCACACACACACACACACACACATATATATATATATATATATATATATATATATGTGTGTGTGTATGTATGTATGTTGCAGTTGATTGAATGGTACCATGAGAAAAATTATCTGTTTCCCCATAGCCAGAAGGAGAAGATATGGAGTCTTACCTTTAACAATGTTATTTGAACCTATGTGAATGTAATGGTGATTTTCTAGCTAATGTGTGGCATAAGACCGAAAGTATGGAGCTTCCATTCAGGGTGAAACTCACTGTTCACTCGTGAACTGATCTAACGACACAAATTTCTTAACCATTACCCCGCGTCGAAGAAAAACTACATGTGAATGTAATGTACTCGTCTGGAATTCAAAATCAACTCTACCGATTACCTCCGAACCGCTATCCATTACGACACTGTGCCTACATAAGCATGAGATCGTTCTAATAAAATAGTTTGTCAGAAAATGTAGGTTTAACTTCAGTAAAGTCCGGGTGAAGGCTGTAGCCTTAAAGCAGCCAGTCAGGATCGAACATACAACAATTGCTTACTAATTGCACTTTTAAAATATTTGATTCATCCGATGCAAGTATACAAGGCGTGATGAATAAATTGTCGTCTAAATTGTGCAAACAAAACAAAAAAAAGATAACGCTGTCATCTCATTTTAACAGATATATTTAACAAAATTGCACAAGAATATCTTGAAATACTAAAATAAAATTCAATAAAATTTCCACTGGATTCAACGACTGCCTCCAGACGACTTCGGAATCTCCTGCAACTCTTGTGGACGGTGTCCTTGTTTGAGTTGGCGAATGATGCCATAATCCTTGCCTTCAGTTCAACTTTGGTGTTACGAAGAGTTTTTCTTAACTCTGCCCTACACATAATAATCAAGTGAGTTGAAGTCTGGGGAGTGGACAGATGTAATGGGGATGTGGTCACAGAAATTTTCAGACAGCCTTGACTGGGTTATACTGTTTGTGTAGCATGGAACAGAGTCCTGTTGCCAGCTATAGGTTCTTCCAGCAACCACCCTCTTGACCCAGGGCATCACTACCTTCTCAAGGCACTTGATGAAGGCCTAGTGTTCAGTCTAAGGCCCTGTCTGAAGATGAATGGAGGCATAATGTCGAGATCTCTAGTCATCACTTCAAACACCTTCGGAATCTCCATTAGACTCATCCAATATTCTAAATCCTCTTCACAGTCCTGAGATTGCCATTTTAAATCCTCTTCACAGTCCTGAGATTGCTCAAATGTTCGTATTAGAGCTTCCGGCACGAATACCTAGCAGTACAGTCGTTTCCAAATTTCTAGCGGAGAGAATTGCGTCATATTGCTCTTTTTCTCGCTGACGATGTCCAGATGACCCTACTATACGGTGTAGTCGGCAAAATCAAGAACAAACAACGGGCATGCGCGAAATAAAAATATCAAATGGCGACAATTTACCCATCGCAGCGTGTATGAATTAGCAGGTAAGACGAGACTGATACAGAATGGACTAGGCTCCCCATTGTGGAATATTATACGGGTATGGCGACCCACCCGCACTCCTTTCATTTAGACTTGCTGTACCAATCCCAGTTCCTTCAAAATTCCTGAACCTTTGCTCGAATTAGAGAACCGGATGTAAGAAATGAATTTAAGAATAGAAAGGGTCCCTGACAAAATTTATTTTCTTGTCGCCCGGCGTCGGAATGGCGATGTGGCTGGGTGGCGGTAAAATGAAGCAAAGTAACAAGCAAACAAAATACAAAAAGAATAAATGAGAAACGACAAATTAGATTAGTACTGGGAATGAATCATCAACATGGCACTAAAATCTGGGGAATACTTCCTTCTTTCCTTCCTTCATTGCTTCCTTCATTTTTTCCTTCCTTCCTTCCTTTCTTCATTCATTCCTTCCTTCATTCCTTCCGTCCTTCCTTCATTAATTCATTCCTTCCTTCATTCATTCCTTCCTTTCCTTTCTTCCATCCTTCCTTCCTTCATTCATTCCTTCCTTCCTTCCTTCCTCCCTTCCCCCCTCCTTTCCTTCTTTCCTACATTCCTTCATTTTTTCCTTCCTTCCTTCCTCCCTTCCCCCTCCTTTCCTTCTTTCCTTCCTTCCTTCCTTCCTTCCTTCCTTCCTTCCTTCCTCCCCTTCCGTCCTTTTCCTTCTTTTCATTCCTTCATTTTTTCCTTCCTTCCTTCCTCCTTCCCCTCCTTTCCTTCTTTCCCCTTCCTTCCTTCCTTCCTTTCCCCTTCCTTCATTCCTTCCTTTTTTCCTTCCTTCCTTCTTCCTTCCTTCCCTCCTTCCCCCCTTTCCTTCTTTCCTACATTCCTTCATTTTTTCCTTCCTCCTTTCCTTCCTTCTTTCCTTCCTTCCTTCCTTCCTTCCTTCCTTCATTCGTTCGTTCATTCCCTTCTTCCTTCCTTCCTTCCTTCCTTCCTTCCTTTCCTTCCTTCCTATTCGTATCTACTTTCTTTTCTTCCAACTTCTTTATCTGTCATTGGCAAAGTGTACGAATTTCAATGTGGATTTGTAAAAGGACGATATGAATAAAGACAACAGGAAAGTTTATCTTAGCCATCGCGTTTTGTCCTCATAGGCAATGTAAGGTAAATGTAAGGATTTTATTTTGTGACAAATATTTACCGTATATACTCGCGTATCACGAGAATTTTGAAGTCCTAATTTTGAAATTAATTTTAAACGTGTCGCATGATACACGAGATATAAAATTAGCGTATGTACAGTTGGCCCTGCCTATGCCATTGACCAAACTGTTGCAGATTGTAGTTGAGTGAAAATGGATCAGAAGGTAATTTATGTAAGGCAAACATTATCCGTGCTTATTATGCATTATCCCACAACACGTAGATCAAATAAAGAATATAAGGACAATTTGCATTGCAAGAAATTACTAAAAACACAGTGGTTAGTGATCCAACATTAAAGAGATTTTTATATATACAATAGATATACATGCAAGGATAACAGAATGTTTATCGATTGTGGCAACTGAGACAAGGTTATGAAGAATGTTCATGCAGAAATTTGGTTAATAAAAGTTAATGGTTTTGATTTGTTTGTGAAATTAAAATAATTTGGTTTCTGCACGGAAAAATCTCAAATGTGTTCGTTCAAATATTAGTGTGTATGCATGTGTTACTTGTTAGTTAGAATTGTGAAGAGTTATTTGCCTTTAACTGTTTGGCTAAATTGATGAATTGTACAATTACCGTTTGTGTAGTGAAAACGTCCACTTTTTAAGTCAATTGTAATTTGATTACCACGCGGACAATGGTCGATTGAGTGCTGTGTTTGTTGAGAATTTTGAAGTGATGTTTAGTCAGTGAACTGACACGAGTTGGAGTTTGGTAGCATCTCACGAAACTCGATGACTGACTGGCGTGAATTGAGTCATGCGGTTGCTTTTATAGACTCCAGGGAGCTTCGGCGGGAAAGAAGGACCTGTTTCGACTTTGCTACAGTTTAGTGTTTCTTAACCAATAGAAGATTGAATTTACTGAAACGAAGAGGTGATTGGTTAAGGCTGTTTTTAGGGAAGAATACATCTTTCCGAAAGGGATGGAAGGCTAATGTGGAAGATTCCACAAAACTATACATCCATTTACTGTAGTCAAAATAAAATTTTTAAATAAACATGATTTTGATAAAACTGATGTTTTACTTAAGTGTATCCAATAATAATAATAATAATAATAATGTAATATTCACATATTAATATCGCATTATAAATTACAAACACCGATGAATGATAAACAAGAGTAAAATTATGAAACCTAGCCGCCTATCTACAATGTATACTCGCGTATCATGCGACTTTTCAAGACCTAATTTCGAAGCTAATTTTAAGGGGGTTGCATCATATATGAGATATGAAATTAGTGTATGTACTGCTGGCCTATACGCTAATTTTATATCACGTGTATGATGCGACCCTCTTAAAATTAACTTCAAAATTAGATTTTTAGCAGACGCAAGTAAATAGGGCATATATAAGAGCAAAAATGATATTGTTTTTTTCCAAATTTTTAGGTATAGTAGTGTTCATGAATGTTCATCCGTTTTACAAAAAAATCAGGTAAGTTTATGGAACACATGAAATGATACAATTCAATGACTAATAAACGAAAGTCAGTATGAGATTTTTTTTAAACCGTATTAGTACTTGTTTCATTCCTTTCACTCATACATCTCTATATAAAGCGGAATCACTGTCTATCTAGCTGTTTGTTATCGAACTCATCCTAGAGTTTTGGAGATAGACCCCCTCCTAACCATATATATTCTGAAACTACATTACTCAGGGTACTTAGATAAGTATATTTCATTTTGATCAAACGGGGTCCAGGGCACAAAGCTCCCACCGATTTTTTCCCTTTGATATAAATTAAATTTAATTTTGAAAAAGGGAATGACTCCTAGGGTACTTAGATATGTATATTACATTTTGATCAAAAGGGGTGCCAGGGAAGAACACCTCCCCTGATTTTTTTTTCTTTTCTTTTGATTAAATTTAATTAAAATTTGAACACGGGAATGACTCCTATCCAAAATATAGAAGAGAAAGCCATCTTCTGGCTTTTCTTCTATATCGGAAGGTCACATCGATCAGATCAAATTCGGACACTATGGACGTCAAGCTATATATAATATAAATATATATATATATATATATATATATATATATATATATATATATATATATATGTGTGTGTGTGTGTGTGTGTGTGTTCTAATGATATAATGTAATTTTTGTTTAATATTTCTTCAGACTTTATGGTTTTAAACGTTATTTTTAGCGGATGCTCATATTTGAATTGACGCTCCATTTATTTATAAACAATATAATCATTTATTTTTGTCTACCGGCTTACATATTCGAGAATTCGACTGACCTGTTAAGAATATGGAGATTGGTAGTTGAAAATAAAGATACTGTTTAATAAATAAACGAAGTATCTACAAGAATATGAGTATCCACTAAACATATTGTCTAAATCTGTAACACACACACACACACACACACACACACACACACACACACACATATATATATATATATATATATATATATATATATATATATATGTGTGTGTGTGTGTACATGTGTACGCGCATATATAGGAACAAAGATACTAAATATATTAATATAAATATATTGTGGGAACATTGTTATTATTATGAATGAAAATAAAATATAAAAAAAAAATAATAATGAAAATTATAAATAAAAATTTAACCCTCGTTTAAACTAAATAAATACAAATAAATAAATAAAAAATAAAATTACTCCCAGCATGAAACAGGGACTGTTCCTGCAGAACATCCCACCAAGAGACGTGAGATTCAAGGACTGTCATGATGACAACACGTGTATAACTTCCCTCCGTGTTATAACTTGTGATATTAAGGAGTGACTTGTTAACTCCTCCTTAATTCCCTAATTGTTCACTAGGGGTCGCTCTCCCTACACTA